CCCCAACTATGGTGCTAATGTTGCTGGCTACAACCCCAACTATGGTACTAATGTTACTGGCTACAACCCCAACTATGGTGCTAATGTTACTGGCTACAACCCCAACTATGGTGCTAATGTTACTGGCTACAACCCCAACTATGGTGCTAATGTTACTGGCTACAACCCCCAACTATGGTGGTAATGTTACTGGCTACAACCCCCAACTATGGTGCTAATGTTGCTGGCTACAACCACAACTATGGTGCTAATGTTACTGGCTACAACCCCAACTATGGTGGTAATGTTGCTGGCTACAACCCCCAACTATGGTGCTAATGTTACTGGCTACAACCCCAACTATGGTGCTAATGTTGCTGGCTACAACCCCAACTATGGTGCTAATGTTACTGGCTACAACCCCCAACTATGGTGGTAATGTTGCTGGCTACAAGCCCAACTATGGTGCTAATGTTGCGGGCTACAACCCCAACTATGGTGCTAATGTTGCTGGCTACAACCCCAACTATGGTGCTAATGTTGCTGGCTACAACCACAACTATGGTGCTAATGTTGCTGGCTACAAGCCCAACTATGGTGCTAATGTTGCTGGCTACAACCCCAACTATGGTGCTAATGTTGCTGGCTACAACCCCAACTATGGTGCTAATGTTGCTGGCTACAACCCCAACTATGGTGCTAATGTTGCTGACTACAACCACAACTATGGTGCTAATGTTACTGGCTACAACCCCAACTATGGTGCTAATGTTACTGGCTACAACCCCAACTATGGTGCTAATGTTACTGGCTACAACCCCAACTATGGTGCTAATGTTACTGGCTACAACCCCCAACTATGGTGCTAATGTTACTGGCTACAACCCCCAACTATGGTGGTAATGTTACTGGCTACAACCCCCAACTATGGTGCTAATGTTGCTGGCTACAACCACAACTATGGTGCTAATGTTACTGGCTACAACCCCAACTATGGTGGTAATGTTGCTGGCTACAACCCCCAACTATGGTGCTAATGTTACTGGCTACAACCCCAACTATGGTGGTAATGTTGCTGGCTACAACCCCCAACTATGGTGCTAATGTTACTGGCTACAACCCCAACTATGGTGCTAATGTTGCTGGCTACAACCCCAACTATGGTGCTAATGTTACTGGCTACAACCCCCAACTATGGTGGTAATGTTGCTGGCTACAAGCCCAACTATGGTGCTAATGTTGCGGGCTACAACCCCAACTATGGTGCTAATGTTGCTGGCTACAACCCCAACTATGGTGCTAATGTTGCTGGCTACAACCACAACTATGGTGCTAATGTTGCTGGCTACAAGCCCAACTATGGTGCTAATGTTGCTGGCTACAACCCCAACTATGGTGCTAATGTTGCTGGCTACAACCCCAACTATGGTGCTAATGTTGCTGGCTACAACCCCAACTATGGTGCTAATGTTACTGGCTACAACCCCCAACTATGGTGGTAATGTTACTGGCTACAACCCCAACTATGGTGCTAATGTTACTGGCTACAACACCAACTATGGTGCTAATGTTACTGGCTACAACCCCAACTATGGTGCTAATGTTACTGGCTACAACCCCAACTATGGTGCTAATGTTACTGGCTACAACACCAACTATGGTGCTAATGTTACTGGCTACAACACCAACTATGGTGCTAATGTTACTGCTACAACACCAACTATGGTGCTAATGTTACTGGTACAACACCAACTATGGTGCTAATGTTACTGGCTACAACCCCAACTATGGTGCTAATGTTGCTGGCTACAACCCCAACTATGGTGGTAATGTTACTGGCTACAACCCCAACTATGGTGCTAATGTGAGAATCGTGAGAATGATGTACATAACCTATGTTAGGTCCTTAATTGATTATGCTGCTCCCATGTTGATATTAACTAGAGAAAGTTAATGCAAAATGAAGCTCTCAGAATTATTCTTGGGTGTCCCAAATCTACAAAGGATCTTAACATGAGGAAGGAGCTTGGTATTTCTAGTATCAGTGATAGGATTGTTGAGATTAACACTGTACTCGGTATTAGAATGTTGAGAATTGAACCAGACACTGTCACAATGAATCTTACCAAGTGTCTAGAGGTAAATACACACAGATCTAAATGGATTGTGAAACCGTGCAGTTGCATTAAGTTTTATAACCTGCATGAACTGTATCACTGTAGGCAACAAGAGCATTTCACCCCTCCGTGGAAGATATGTTCATTTAATATCACATACCTGCAAGTCCCTTCCAAGAAGCTCATTGCTAGTAATCCCTTCCTTAAATCTCTTGTTAGAGCAACTGCTCAAGAAGAAATTTCTCACCTAGCTGGTAGTAATAAGTTATCACAAGTTATATACACTGATGGATCTAAACAGGAGTCTTCTGGCAGGGCTGCATCTGCTCTTGTTACCACCTCCAGCAGGAGTCTTCTGGCAGGGCTACATCTGCTCTTGTTACCACCTCCAGCAGGAGTCTTCTGGCAGGGCTACATCTGCTCTTGTTACCACCTCCAGCAGGAGTCTTCTGGCAGGGCTACATCTGCTCTTGTTGCCACCTCCAGCAGGAGTCTTCTGGCAGGGCTACATCTGCTCTTGTTGCCACCTCCAGCAGGAGTCTTCTGGCAGGGCTACATCTGCTCTTGTTGCCACCTCCAGCAGGAGTCTTCTGGCAGGGCTACATCTGCTCTTGTTGCCACCTCCAGCAGGAGTCTTCTGGCAGGGCTGCATCTGTTCTTGTTGCCACCTCCAGCAGGAGTCTTCTGGCAGGGCTGCATCTGCTCTTGTTGCCACTTCCAGCAGGAGTCTTCTGGCAGGGCTACATCTGCTCTTGTTGCCACCTCCAGCAGGAATCTTCTGGCAGGGCTACATCTGCTCTTGTTGCCACCTCCAGCAGGAATCTTCTGGCAGGGCTACATCTGCTCTTGTTGCCACATCCAGCAGGAGTCTTCTGGCAGGGCTACATCTGCTCTTGTTGCCACATCCAGCAGGAGTCTTCTGGCAGGGCTACATCTGCTCTTGTAAGATATAAGTGAGCTGGAGATATATAGATATAAATCCATATGTACACCTGTTAACCCTTTTGGGCCTAGCTCCTGGGCCTTTTGTGTATCCATATGCTCTTGCTCTACCGTCCACAGGATGGTTATGGGGGGAACAATAAACTAGCCACTGCTGTGATTAAATCTAAATCTGAATCTAGAGTAATTCTGTAGATTGTTCAGATCCATCTGTAGTATTTCCTGGTCTGCTTTTTTGCATTCTCCATTAGTTTTATGTTGTCTGTGCACAGAAAGTCGGTACAGGTACTGACCTTGTGGGACCCCATTGTCAACTTACCATCTGGCACCACTGTTTTTTGCTCATCGCCGTGTTTATAGAGAGTAGACATCCTGTACAAATATATGCAGTCAACTTAACAGAGTAGACATAATATCAGTAGACATAAGAGCGTACTTTGTCATTGTGATCTGTTCACAGCGTTCCCAGGTGTTTCCTATGAAGGATATATGGGTAATTTGACCCTTCGTTATTACCCGACTGTTATACCATCACGAGTCTTTACTTTGGCCTAAGGGTAAGATCTAATATGAAAAAAAACAATACTGACCATCATCCAGTTATTTGATGTGAATCACAGCAGCAGACGACCTCTCAGCAGCATGTGTGCCACCACCTGCACACCACCATCCTGCTGCCACCACACTGCTGCCATCCTGACACACCGCCAGGTCATCCCTGCAGGTCACCTCACCCCCTCGCCTTCTGATTCAGGTCACCTGACTTGAGGTACGTGCCTCGTCCCTGGCTTGAGGTCACGTGCTCTCTCCCTGGTTGAGGTCACCTGCCTGGCTTGAGTCCTGCTCGTCTTGGCTTGAGGTCACCTGCCTGTCTCCCTGGTTGAGTCACTGCCAGCCATAGGTACGTGCCTCGCATCCTGGTGGGTCACTCCTGGCTTGAGGTCACCGCCTCGTTCCTGGCTTGAGGTCACCTGCCTCGTCTCCTGGATCTGAGGTCACCTTGCCTCGTACCTGGCTATGAGGTCACCTGCCAGGCTGAGTACGTAACTCGCCTCCCTGGCTGTGAGGTCACCATGCTGGCTCTCAGGTCATCTGTCGTCTCCTGGCTTGCAGGTCACACTGCTGGCTTGAGTCACCTGCCGGCCTGAGGTCTACCTCCTTGATTTAGTTCATGCCTGTCTGAGTCAAGTTCCTGGCTGGGTCCCTCCTGGCTTGACTCACCTGCCAGCTTAGGTCACCTGGCCACCTGTGTCACTGCCCATGGCCGGTTGAGGTCACCTGCTAGCCTACCACGAACATACTAAGGCCAGGTACACTACAGCCAGGGGTCACTCCCGGCCAGGGGGGTACCTGCATTCCACCAGCGTCCCCAGGTTGGGTTCCATATGAAGGTAAGGGGTAATTCCCTTCGGGTCTATTAACCCGACTGTTAACCAGCCAAGTCTTTACTTCGCTCTAAGGGCAGAGATTATATTGAAAAAAACCAAAAAAACTAGAACCCCAACCCAGTTTGTTTTTGATTTTGGGGAACAGAGCAGACGACCTCCGTCCAGCAGGCAGAGTGGCTGCCACCACCTGACACCACCACCTGCTGCCACCACCACCTGCTGCCATCACCTGACACCACCTGCCAGGCTCACTCACCTCAGGTCACCTCAACCCCCTCGCCTTCCTGACTTCAGGTCACCTGACTTGAGGTCACGTGCCTCGTCTCCCTGGCTTGAGGTCACGTGCCTCGTCTCCCTGGCTTGAGGTCACCTGCCTGGCTTGAGGTCACCTGCCTCGTCTCCCTGGCTTGAGGTCACCTGCCTCGTCTCCCTGGCTTGAGGTCACCTGCCAGGCCTGAGGTCACGTGCCTCGCCTCCGCTTGGTCACCTGCCTGCTGAGGTCACCTGCCTCGCCCCTGGCTTGAGGTCACCTGCCTCGTCTCCCGCTGAGTCACCTGCGTCCTGGCTAGGTCACCTGCCTCGTCTCCCTGGCTTGAGGTCACCTGCCTCGTCTCCCTGGCTTGAGGTCACCTGCCAGGCCTGAGGTCACGTGCCTCGCCTCCCTGGCTTGAGGTCACCAGCCTGGCTTCAGGTCACGTGCTTCGTCTCCCTGGCTTGAGGTCACCTGCCTGGCTTGAGGTCACCTGCCAGGCCTGAGGTCACCTGCCTGGCTTGAGGTCACCTGCCAGGCCTGAGGTCACATGCCTGGCTTGAGGTCACCTGCCTGGCTTGAGGTCACCTGCCTGGCTTGAGGTCACCTGCCAGGCCTGAGGTCACGTGCCTCGCCTCCCTGGCTTGAGGTCACCTGCCTCGCCTACCAGGCCAGGGATCACCTACCAGGCCAGGGATCACCTACCAGGCCAGGGGGGGTCACCTGCCAGGCCAGGGGGGTCACCTGCCAGGCCAGGGGGGTCACCTGCCAGGCCAGGGGGTTACCCACCAGATCAGGGGTCACCTGCCAGGTCAGGGGGTCACCTGCCAGGCCAGGGGGGTCACCTGCCAGGCCAGGGGGGGTCACCTGCCAGGCCAGGGGGTTACCCACCAGATCAGGGGTCACCTGCCAGGTCAGGGGGTCACCCACCAGGCCAGGGGTCACATACCAGACCAGGGGGTCACCTACTAGGCCAGAGGGGGGTCACCCACACCTGCCACAGGTCACTTCTGCCACACCTCACCATAATGAAATGTGATTATGCCCAGCATAATATTTTTCCACCTCTAATATTGAGCTTTCTCACTTGTAATAGACAATCAAATTTTATAATAGACTTTACTCTCCCTAGAGCGCTTACTTCGCTACCAAGTCGTCATTTTTAGCAGCGAGTGGATCCTCTGTTTAATGTTAATGTCAGTAACTCGGTTTACCTTATTCCTTGTATATCAAAGCCTGGTCTTAGACTGGGCCACGGGGGCGTTGACCCCCAAAACCCTTTCCAGGTATACTCGAGGTATCTCTCTTATTGTGACTGATTTTCACTTGGACGATTTACTTTGCCGTTTTATCTTTTAAGGCTTAAATAAGTTATTACAAGGAACTCAAAGGAAATGAGTCACTGTGACTTTTTTTTTTTTTTAGGTTATCCTAAGTAATCTACATATGTTGCTATGTATAATTTGTGTAACTGTATTTGTATACCTGTACCTAAATCAACTTATTCATATAACACAGTACAGCTTTATTTCTTTTCTGCAGTATACTGAATGTAGTTTACATGTATTAAAATATTATTAAGCACAAAAGAAAGCCACTAACATGCAGTGCATAATTTTCCACTAGATGTGTCGGGCTGGCGCTATAAACCTGCCTCGTGGAGTTACACGATTTAATAATTGATAATAGTAGACAGCTGCTTGACCAGTGATCTCTTTCGTTAATTTTAGTTTGAATTGTGCAGCGTTAAGTTAGATTTACGGTTGATATATATTGTATAGGTGGTATAAAACCCACTGAACAAACCTTAATTTAACCTGATGCAACCTAACCTTAATCTGCCGTTGGTAGATGTGCATCTTGATTTACACTGCCAGGCATGTGACAACTTGATACTAAGTATTGATGGCTCAGATGTGCTGCTCAACTAAAATGAATGTAAGAGTTTTATTTAAGTCTCCCAAAATAGCAATTTGAACAAGAAATGCGTACTCAGTGATGTACGTAGGTTGCATGTATGTATTGTAAAAATTAAACTAATGCTAGAGTTTTGCCGAGTTTATCTGGAGTTTATCTGGAGAGAGTTCCGGGGGTCAACGCCCCCGCGGCCCGGTCTGTGACCAGGCCTCCTTAGGTCAGTGTCCCAGGATGCGACCCACACCAGTCGACTAACACCCAGGTACCCATTTTACTGATGGGGAACATAGACAACAGGTGGAAAGAAACACGTCCAATGTTTCTACTCTGGCTGGGAATCGAACCCAGGCCCTCACCGTGTGAAGCGAGAGCGTTAACCGTTAACCTCACAGTCAGAGGGATACCTTGATCCTGTGAATAGGACCTTGTGGGTTTAGCACTTTAGTTTGATTGTAATAATAATAATAATAATGAATATTAGATATCCTCCTCTTTTTTAGATAAAACTTTATTTCCTCATCCCCACCTTCCCTCCCATTCCACAAGCTCTCTACTACCCTGACAGGTTTAGTGCTTGTCCATGAACACTGTTATTATTCCACCAAGGTAGTGAGATCCAAATTATGAAAATATTTGCTATCACTCATTCCCTGACTGCATTTTTGGATGTGCTAGGGGCAGCTCCAGAATTTCTATCTAGGAGGAGCTTAGGGGTAGCAGTCTGATTGGAAGAGGCAGCCTAGAAGGCTTGTTTTGAAGTTCCATTGTTTATTGTTATTTTCATTTAGGAGACTTCAGAGTCCCCCTTGCCCTCCTCTTGGCACTACCATTGGCACTGACATTTCAGTTCAAATGATCCACTGAACTGTAACATCCACACATATTCTTCAGCGTACAAGCACTGTACATTCCACCTCCAGAACTTGTATTCGGTTATCTGGTAATCCTGAAAGCCTTTATGCCATAGATACCATATACTTTAGAAAATAAAGGTTATATATTTTTAGTTATAAAGTACAATGTATATATACAGTACTTAGTGTAGTAAGTTGATTAAAAAATAAGCAAGCAAAAATCAGGCATACAGGATATTTAAATCTGTTGTATTGTTTCAGTCTGGTGAGGTACAGACACCTCACTCTGCCTAGACCCTAAATTGGACTCTTTAAGAACTAGTTCCTTTTTCTCCACTGTAGATGTTCTATGGTTCTTGGAGTAAGTTGTCTCATGTTATGAGTCTTGTGATTCAAACTTTCAGAGTCATCAGTTTAACTATCTTGTTTCAGGATGAGTAATGGGTTGACGACTTTTGAAAAGCAGCTTCAAGATGTGTTCAGCAGGAGGAAGCAGTAATACCGGAGGTGGAGGAGGACCAAAAGGAGATGGAGGAGGAGGAGGAGAAGGAGGGGTAGGAGTAAGAGAGGGAGGGAGTGGACAGAGCCTGGGACCAGAGGAGTACACAAAATTGGCTCGTGATGGTATTCAGCTGATGCTTAACAACAGATTCACCGAGGCAGAGGAACTCTTCCGTCATCACACGCAGGACAATCTCCACATGGCAATGGGCTACTGTTACCTCACCTTTATGGTAAATTATGGGGGTCAAGTTGTGTGCTGTTAAAAAATGAGAAACTACTAGCATAGAAAAATAAAATACAGGTATATGAGATCTGTTTATTTTGGCCAAAATGTACAATTTTTTTTTTTTTACTCATTTCATTTTGCTGTCCAAATGTGTACTCACTTTTCAATGATTAATGTTTCTGATACCTCAATTCAAGCATCTTGTGCAGTTGTCAGTTAGCATCTGGACTTATTATCAAAGTCAAACTTTATTCCCACATGATACAATATTTATACAGAAATGAGTGACATTTGACTGCATGCAGAAAGTCTATGGTTATGCAGAGCATTTCAGTCAAGCTTAAGCCTATTCATCATATGTATATAAGTATTTGATGAATGTAAATGTAAGTAGAGTAAATATATCATTATGGTCAGTTACATTATCAGGTACAGTATTTCAATGGGATAATGTACCTTATGAATTTTCTGATTTTTTCCTCATGTTTTGTGATGGTAATTTTTTGAGCACGAGTTACCAGGAACATATGTCGCACGATGTACAAAAACTTAATCTATAATAAAAGAGATACAATACTGTGTACACAATACTGTGTACCAGAATAACAAAACCTTGCTAAAACTGGAACAAAAAACTTGTATAATACAGTACAATAGTTACAGTTCTCAAATTATTATTATTTTTTTTATTATCACACATCGGCCGCATCCCACCAAGGCAGGGTGGCCCAAAAAAGAAAAACTTTCACCATCATTCACTCCATCACTGTCTTGCCAGAAGGGTGCTTTACACTACAGTTTTTAAACTGCATCATTAACACCCCTCCTTCAGAGTGCAGGCACTGTACTTCCCATCTCCAGGACTCAAGTCCGGCCTGCCGGTTTCCCTGAATCCCTTCATAAATGTTACTTTGTTCACACTCCAACAGCACGTCAAGTATTAAAAACCATTTGTCTCCATTCACTCCTATCAAACACACTCACGCATGCCTGCTGGAAGTCCAAGCCCCTCGCACACAAAAAGGGGCTTGGACTTCCAGCAGGCATGCGTGAGCGTGTTTGATTGGAGTGAATGGAGACAAATGGTTTTTAATATTTGACGTGCTGTTGGAGTGTGAGCAAAGTAACATTTATGAAGGGATTCAGGGAAACCGGCAGGCCGGACTTGAGTCCTGGAGATGGGAAGTACAGTGCCTGCACTCTGAAGGACGGGTGTTAATGTTGCAGTTTAAAAACTGTAGTGTAAAGCACCCTTCTGGCGAGACAGTGATGGAGTGAATGATGGTGAAAGTTTTTCTTTTTCAGGCCACCCTGCCTTGGTGGGAATCGGCCAGTGTGATAATAAAAAAAATAATAATAATTTGAGAACTGTAACTATTATACTGTATTATACAAGTTTTTTGTTCCAGTTTTAGCAAGGTTTTGTTATTCTGGTACACAGTATTGTATCTCTTTTATTATAGATTAAGTTTTTGTACATTGTGCGACATATGTTCCTGGTAACTCGTGCTCAAAAAATTGTGCCGTAAAAATGGCATATTGCAGAATTATATAATACTGCACTGTATGTCAATAGAGCAGTTGTCAATGAAAGGCATGTAGAGTACCCTGCTAGAATGTTAGTTATTTACTTCATATAGAAAGTAGGATATGACAGTAGTGCATTAAATATATTTTCTATGTATTCTAGAATGCTGTCATGTCATTTGAAGAAGAGAAGGTGACTCACAGCATGGAAACACTGCGTAGCATGGAGAGGAGATGTGGCGGGGGTGAGAATGGGTGGTTCTCCTCTGTTAAAAGTATTGTTCTGGGCTCAAGGAATGGCCAAGAACAAGTAAGTATTTATGTGTGTGTGTACTTGCCAATTTGTGGTTGCAGGGGTCAACTCTCAGATTGTGGTCTTGCCTCTTAAATGTACTGTAGTCTTGACACTGTCAATAAATTTGCTTCAAGGAGATACATAGGGTAAACTTTAACCAGTCATGCTATAAGAATGTGTACCAGTTTGGGTGTAAAAGAAACCATGTCCTAGTCCACATTCGACTACATGCTAAAGTGTACACATTAAACTATATCCTAGAGTTTATTGTACTTTATTTACAAATCACTAGAACTGTAGGGTTAATTTGCTACTGATGTGACATTCATTCATATTAGATAAATAATTTTTGACATTACTGCATTTTTGACATTATTCAAGTCATGGTGCACATATGCATCCAGGGACATGCGGTGGGAAACAGGTGAAGGGACAGGTGAATTAGAGGGCTGTTAGTAAGCACTGTATTTCTTCAGTCTCAGAGTGGTTGGGAAGTAGAATGATCTAAGTGAGAAAGTGGTGGAGACTGGCTCCATAAATAGTTTTAAGAAGAGAAGCGATAACTCCCACGAGGCTAAGAGAGTTAGGGCTCGATTACATATCAGAAATAGTTTAGAACTTGAGAGTCAAGTGCTAGGGAAGAATTTTGTCCCTTTTCTCTTGCAAATTCCCCTCAAGGAGGGTGTGCATTGATACTGATAAGGGGTTCTTGATCTAAGAAACTAGAGGTACTTTTCCCTTTCTTGGAGCACACATGATTACTGCCCATTCCCGGGGAGTGCAGTGCTTCCCTAGGAATATAACACTGCGATAATAATCTCTAATTATTCACTTTTATAATTTCAGCAATTGGTATGAAATAAAAATTACAGTACAAAAACCTAAGTTCATTAAAAGAATAATGAACACCAATAGTATTTTATCTTGCTTTAACAATGTTCTGTGGCACTGATATCTCTGTGCTCTTCCTCAATCAGGGGGACGAGCCAGGCTCTCAGCTTGAGCAGCAAGTGATTCTGGCTGACTGTCAGGTTCTCCTAGCCATTCTCACATTCCTCCAGCAAGAGATTGGTTCCTACGTGAAGGGGGGTTGGGTGTTGCGCAAGGCTTGGAAGGTCTACGAGCATGCTTACACTAAGGTTAAGAGACTGTACAAGCAAACTTTTGGTGAAGCCCAAGATGTGCCTAGTGAGTCCATATTTACTACTAACTTTGTTGTACAACTTCATATTTATTGTTGACTTTGCTATAGGGTTGTATGCTTATCCACACTTGATTCAAATTCAAATTCAAAGTTTATTCTCTATAAGGATTACAATGCTGAGTTTATAGAATTTGGTTATTGTGTGGTTTACATGTAGTAAAATAATAATTACAGAGTGTACCACTAGAACACTTAGCATGGCTAGGCATTTCAGGCAGACTTAAATTAAATCTTAAGTTTAAAATATTACAAAATTATGAGGTAAGTTGGTATTATGGCTAAGTGACTAAATACTAGTTTGTGAGTTTAGCAATGTGAATGCTTTTCTTTGGCCATTGAAGGGCTTTTCTTCCAAGAAATTTGAGCTATCTCTTCCTGTTACTTATCCTGATTATAGTACAGTACTTCACATTCTCCAGGTACTTGATGACCCTTATATATTTAGTGCTTTCCCATGAATAAAATAATTCTGTTTATTAAAATGTGTTGTATTATCTGCATTTTCATGTCTCTGCAGCTGTTTCTGAATTATCAGAAGTTATAAGTTGTATTCGTTTATATATGTTTTAAATCCCATGATATTTTTATTTTTATTACTGGGATAAATCTAGTACTGCATAAACTATTTAATAGTCAACCTTTTTAAAGGTCTCATTCCACTGTCAAAAACTAATTCAGCTAAGCAAGTTTGAGTACTATGAGAGGCTGGGAGAGATATACCATATTTTCTGGCATGTAAGGTATGCTTTTTGTTTCCCACCACAGAAAGTCTTGGAAAATCACCCTGTGCTTTGGGTTAGGCTTGAGTAGTTGTTTACCATTACATTACAACTACCTGGAAATATTGTCTCATATGTCTTATATACTCGTGTGCTGCATATGCTGGAAGATATAGTAGGTATTGTCTGGAAATTAGCTTGAACTGATTTAGAATAATACATTATTATTATCATCAAAACTATGCGCTAAACCCACAAGGGTCTTATAGCGCTGTTAGAGCAGTACGATGCTGCCTTTCCAGCAGTTGGCCTTGAGACTATTAGTATTTGATGGTGTTAAGTTGTAACTCTTTGTAGCTTCTTATTTGCCAGTTGTAGAATCACTTTTAGGAATGTCATCCAGTCTTCCTGAAGAATAATGAATAGGCAGAGATATAGGAAATTCGCTAGAACTTTTCTCTGCCTCCCCATCATTATGTTATGGGTGGTCTAAAATTAAGAGTAAGGTGTAAAATATTGTAAAGTTTTTTTTTTTTTTTTTCAACAAACTGGCCGTATCCCACCAAGGCAGGGTGGCCCAAAAAGAAAAACGAAAGTTTCTCTTTTTAAATTTAGTAATTTGTACATTCATTCATTCATTAGAGGTTTGCCGGTACTTCCGTCCCAGGTCTTCTCCATATGGTGACCCGGCTGTGGCCCCCGGTTGGGGGTGTCGTTCATCTTCTTCTTTCTTCTGTCTTCTTTCTTGGGCCCTCCGGCTGGAGGGTAACCTCTTCTTCTCTCTTGCGGCGACTCCCCAGAGGGGAGTGTCATCTCGCTTCTCATCTTCATCAGCAGGCGTCACTTGGTCTTCATCAGCAGGCGTCCACTTGGGCTTCATTGGCAGGCATCGCCAGGGTTGAGGGTCTTCGGGCACTTGTTGCCCCGTCAAGTTGTTGGTAGTGTGGCATGGGTTCTAGGCGAGTTCAGACTTTTACCTAGAAAACAGGTACAGGCTCCGTTGGATTTTTTTTTTTTTTTTATAAGTGGTGGGGGAGGGGAGGTAGGGGAGTGAAAGAAGGAAGAGTAGGAGAGTTAATAGATGGAGAGGTCGTGGCGACTCTTCATTGTATGTGGCGTCGTCATCAAGGCGGTGAGTGGGCAGCCAGGATGGGGATGAGAGTTCCCAGGTCACGGACGGCCAGGTACACTAGCCGGGCTGCGGTGTCTTCTCGGTTCGGGTCCCCAGGCGCCATTGGGAAGTGCCTCCGTCGGAGTGGCACCGTCGCGGGGCAGTCGAGGAGGTAGTGCACTAGTGGCTTGGGGACCATCTGGTTGCAATGGCAGCAGCACTCCTCTCGCACACGGTCGATGAGTCTTCTGGCAGTAGGGTAGCCAAGTTGCAGCCGGTGGATCCCAACCTGCAACTTCCTGTCTAGCCTCCGCATGCTCGGCGGGGGCTCCCCTCGGGTCGCCCTGTCGTACCAGATCCGGCTCTGCGATGTGCCTGGCCCTGGTAGCGGGCGCCTGGCTGCAGCGGCTGCCCACAGGTCCACCTGCCTGCGGCTGATGGCGATGGTGGTCACTGGCTGGGGTTCAAGGGTTGCTGACTTCGCCGCGCCATCCGCCGCATCATTCCCAGCGAGGTCGATGTGGCTTGGAATCCAGTTGATTGTTGCTTGCCATCCCTGCTCATTAAGTATCTGCAGGTCCTTCCAGTAATTTGTACGGAGAAGGGGTTACTAACCCCTTGCTCCCAGCATTTTAGTTGCCTCTTACAACACGCATGGCTTACGGAGGAAGAATTCTGTTCCACTTCCTCATGGAGATAAGAGGAAATAAACAAGAACACAAGAACTAGAAAGAAAATAGCAGAAAACCCAGAGGGGTGTGTATATATATGCTTGTATATGTATGTGTAGTGTGACCTAAGTGTAAGTAGAAGTAGCAAGATGTACCTGTAATCTTGCATATTTATGAGACAGACAAACAGACACCAGCAATCCTACCATCATGTAAAACAATTACAGGCTTTTGTTTTACACTCACTTGGCAGGACGGTAGTACCTCCCTGGGCGGTTGCTGTCTACCAACCTACTACCTAGGTATTGTAAAGTTATGGATAGGTAATAGTATAAGATACTCACATGATGGTGAGACAAATGCACTTTATGGAATCCTTTATTGACAATATTTTGCCAATGGAATGGTTTTTATCAAGTCATGAACAGATGTCTGTGATTTGATAAAAGCAATATGGCATCAATAAGGGATTCTGCTAAAGGATGTTGCAGTTTGGAGACCCATCTGAACTGTGATGTCAGTACGCTACTGGCAAGACAGTGACTGAATCAATGATGGTAAATGCTTTTCCTCTCTTTTTTTTGGGGGGGAGGGGTTGAAATGACTCAACCTAGGTGGATATATCTTTTGGTGTCAATGGTACCTCAAAACATACGACAGTAGTTCTACATGTACTTATCAGAGGACATAAGTTACTAAAGATATAGCTTTTATTTTATTTTATTAACACATCGGCCGTTTCCCACCAAGGCAGGGTGGCCCAAAAAAGAAAAACTTTTATTATCATTCACTCCATCACTGTCTTACCAGAGGCTCGCTCACACTACAATTATAAAACTGCAACATTAATACACCTGTGTTAATGTTGCAGTTTTATAACTGTAGTGATTTTTTGCATTATGTATGGTAATTGTAATTCACAAATGCTGTGAAGCTTCAAGCACTTGAATGCCAGTTTTGGCTTGTATAATTTTTTGTACAGAAACATGCATTTGCCAAAAATTTTCTTAATGTACTAATCTTTATGTTAATATTGCAGCAAATCTGACAGAGGAGTATATTGGCTCTCTCAACACTAGCACAGATGAACTGCAGAGTCCAGGGTCCTGGTCTGTTGGCTCCACTGGGGTTCCCGGTCCAGCTGCAGATTTCTCAGAGTCGGGTCACCACTCGGCTCCATTATCTTCTTCAACTTCAGCTCTGGGTATTCGCATTCCTCTCTCCAAATCTGTACCCAACTTGAAGGGATTCCTTTACTCAAACAACAAACACCAACAACAGTCCAAGAAGTAAGATTATCTTTTAAAGATTTAGAATGTTTTACTTAGCAATGTTTAAATGTGTATGTTTGTGTGTGACTGTGATTCTACAAGTTCCTATCCCTATTTTTGTGATGATGAATATAAAGACACAAGCTCAGCTTCTTGCATATAACTGTGTACCTTACAGGTGCAGTGAAAGGCTTTTGAACCAAGGCAGTAGAGCCACCCTTCCCTTACCTTAGATAACACGAGATAACATTCCATTCCCCTGGCACTATGACCCTTATGGGTTAAGCACTTCCCCACAAATATAATAAAGTTAATTAGGGAATAAAAAAGATACACAGATCAAAAGGATACCGTAATTAGTATCTTTTAACCACTTGTCACCTACATCATTCCTCATCTACTGTCCTGATACAGCAAAATTAATGAAACTGTGTGTGATTAGAAAAGTTTAAACAAAGGCTATGTTGTGTGTTAAGACATGATGAAGCATGATGTAGGATTCTTGTGATGATTCAGAGATTTGAAGGTAATAGCAACACAAGTGTTAGCTCAGTGAGTATGACAGCCCCACCACTCACCTGTCAATGGTAAAAATAGCCTGGTAAATAATGGGTGGGTGACATTGCTGAGGATACATTGTTTCTATCTTCCCACTGAAAGTCAAGTACACCTACCATCCGACTTACGACCGAGCTCGGTTCCGAGAAACCGGTCGTAAGTCGAACTTTACTACTGAATATCAACATAACATTTTTGTAATGACTTTATTTTATTGTTTTATTTTGGTATTTCATGTTTTACTTTACTTTTTATGCTGTTTGTACTGTATTTTATACTGTAAGGTTTAGGATAAACACTGTGTACAACACAAACACTTGTTTATTTCCCAGAAATTTGGCATAAAAAACACGGTCGTAAGTCGAGTCATCGTAAGTCGAGCAGGTCATAAGTCGGATGGTAGGTGTACTTCCTTCAGCATCTCATGCAGGCAGAAGTGTTGATGATGAAGACAACTACATTTGGTTAGCTAAGTTTGACAACATGAATGGTTGTTGTGGCTTCCAGTGTTGACATGACACCCTTCATACCTTACAGTACTTATTTTTTATAACACAACAGCCATCACTCATCGAAGCAGGGTGGCTTTTAAAGGAAGAAATGAAAGTGTTAATTTTTCTTACATTTAGTAATGTACGTATACAGAAGGGGTTACTAGCCCGTTGCTCCCAGCATTTCAGTTGCCTCTTATGATACACATGGCTTATGGAAGAAAACGTTTTCTCCACTTCCCATTGAGTAGTTTAGGTGTCACCAGTACAGGCAAGCCCTGCATTACAGTGCTTTACTTTACAGTGGTTTTCAATTATACCCAGTGTTTATTTATTCAGACTTCGTACAGTACATATATTCACCACTCACTATAAGCTAAGGATTAAAATATTTTAAGGTAAGTAATGTGTGTACTGTATATGCATTTTTTAGGCCTAGCTATATTGCTTAATATATGATAGTATAAACATGTGTTGATGTGCTGTTGGAGTGTGAGCAAGGAAACATTTATGAAGTGATTTGGGGAACCCGGCAGTGACCTCCATCAAAGACACTGCAAGACTCCAAGCGGATATCAACCAAATCTTAATTGGGCCACTCAAAAATGTATGAAGTTCAACGAGGAGAAATTTCAACTACTCAGATATGGAAAACTTGAGAAAATTAAAAATGTATCAAGGTATGCAACAAATTCTAACCATACAATAGAGCAAAAAAGAAATGTGAAGGAACTGGGAGTGATAATGCCAAAGGATCTCATCTTCGAAGACCACAACAATGAATCTACCTCATCAGCTAGGAAAATGATAGGATGGATAATGAGAACCTTCAGAACTAGGGACACCAAGTTTATGATGACACTCTTCAGATTGCTTGTTCTCTCTAGGCTGGAATACTGCTGTACACTAACGGCCCTCTTCAGGGCTGGCAATGTTGCAGACCTGGAGAGCATACAAAGAACTTTCACAGCACACATAAATACGATAAGGCATCTAAATTGCTGGGAACGGTTGACCTGGAGTTTGAAGGTCCTTGATCTGTATTCCCTGGACTGCAGGTGAGAGAGATGCATGATAATACAGACTTGGAAGGTCCTGGAGGGATTAGTACCAAACCTGCACACAAAAATCACTCCCTATGAAAGCAAAAGACTCGGCAGGAAATGTAACATTCCCCCGATGAAAAGCAGGGGCGCCACGAGTACATTGAGAGAACACAATAAGTGTCCAGGGCCCATGACTGTTCAACTGCCTCCCAACATACATAAGGAGGATTACCAATAGACCTCTGGCTGTCTTCAAGAAGGCACTGGACAGGCACCTAAAGTCGGTACCTGACCAACCGGGCTGTGGTTTGTACGTTAGTGTGAGGCTGGCAGTAACAGCCTGGTTGATCAGACCCTGATCCACCATGAGGCCTGGTCTCAGACTGAGCTGCTTGGGCGTTGACCCCCGAAACCCTCTCCAGGTAAACTCCAGGCTAGATTTGAGTCCTGGAGGTGGGAAGTACAGTGTCTGTACTCTGAAGGAGGTGTGTTGATGTTGCAGTTTTATAACTGTAGTATTTACCTGGAGAGTACCTGGAGAGAGTTCCAGGGGGTCAATGCCCCTGCGGCCCAGTCTGTGACCAGGCCTCATGGTGGATCAGAGCCTGATCAACCAGGCTGTTACTGCTGGCTGCATGCAATCCAACGTACGAGCCACAGCCTGGCTGGTCAGGTACCAACTGTAGGTGCTTGTCCAGTGCCTGCTTGAAGACAGCCAGGGGTCTATTGGTAATCCCCCTTATGTATGCTGGGAGGCAGTTGAACAGTCTCGGGCCCCTGACACTTATTGTATTGTCTCTTAACGTGCTAGTGATACCCCTGCTTTTCATTGGGGGGATGTTGCATCGTCTGCCGAGTCTTTTGCTTTCGTTGAGTGATTTTCGTGTGCAAATTTGGTACTAGTCCCTCTAGGATTTTCCAGGTGTATATAATCATATATCTCTTCCACCTGCGTTCCAGGGAGTACAAGTTCAGGAACTTCAAGCGCTCCTAGTAATTGAGGTGTTTTATCTCCATTATGCGCGCCGTGAAGGTTCTCTGTACATTTTCTAGGTCAGCAATTTCACCTGCCTTGAAAGGTGCTGTTAGTGTGCAGCAATATTCCAGCCTAGATAGAACAAGCGACCTGAAGAGTGTCATCATGGGCTTGGCATCCCTAGTTTTGAAGGTTCTCATTAACCATCCTGTCATTTTTCTAGCAGATGCGATTGATACAATGTTATGGTCCTTGAAGGTGAGATCCTCCGACATGATCACTCCCAGGTCTTTGACGTTGGTTTTTCGCTCTATTTTGTGGCCGGAATTTGTTTTGTACTCGGATGAAGTTTTAATTTCCTCATGTTTACCATATTGGAGTAATTGAAATTTCTCATCGTTGAACTTCATATTGTTTTCTGCAGCCCATTGAAAGATTTGGTTGATGTCCGCCTGGAGCCTTGCAGAGTCTGCAATGGAAGACACTGTCATGCAGATTTGGGTGTCATCTGCAAAGGAAGACACGGTGCTGTGGCTGACGTCCTTGTCTATGTCAGATATGAGGATGAGAAACAAGATGGGAGTGAGTACTGTGCCTTGTGGAACAGAGCTTTTCACCGTAGCTGCCTCAGACTTTACTCTGTTGACTACTACACTTTGTGTTCTGTTTGTGAGGAAATTTTAGATCCATCTGCCAACTTTTCCTGTTATTCCTTTAGGACACATTTTGCGCGCTATTATGCCATGGTCACACTTGTCGAAGACTTTTGCAAAGTCTGTATATATTACATCTGCATTCTTTTTGTCTTCTAGTGCATCTAGGACCTTGTCGTAGTGATCCAGTAGTTGGAACAGACAGGAGCGACCTGCTCTAAATCCATGTTGCCCTGGGTTGTGTAATTGATGGGTATCTAGATGGGTGGCGATCTTGCTTCTTAGGACCCTTTCAAAGATTTTTATGATATGGGATGTTAGTGCTATCAGTCTGTAGTTCTTTGCTATTGCTTTACTGCCCCCTTTGTGGAGTGGGGCTATGTCTGTTGTTTTTAGTAACTGTGGGACGACCCCCGTGTCCATGCTCCCTCTACATAGGATGGTAAAAGCACGTGATAGGGACTTCTTGCAGTTCTTGATGAACACGGAGTTCCACGAGTCTGGCCCTGGGGCATAGTGCATAGGCATGTCATTTATCGCCTGTTCGAAGTCATTTGGCATCAGGATAACATCAGATAGGCTTGTGTTTACCAAATTCTGTGGCTCTCTCATAAAAAACTCATTTAGACTTCGACTCTCAGTCTGGTTAGCGGCTTGCAAAAAACTGAGTCATATTGGGACTTAAGTAGCTCACTCATTTCCTTGCTGTCATCTGTGTAGGACCCATCTTGTTTAAGTAGGGGCCCAATACTGGATGTTGTTCTTGACTTTGATTTGGCATAAGAAAAGAAATACTTTGAATTTCTTTCGATTTCATTTATGGCTTTTAGTTCTTCCCGCAATTCCTGACTCCTATAAGATTCCTTTAGCTTTAGTTTGATGTTTGCTATTTCTCTGACCAGTGTCTCCCTACGCATTTCAGATATATTGGCCTCTTTTAGCTGCTCTGTTATTCTTTTCCGTCGCCTGTAAAAGGAGCGCCTGTCTCTTTCTATTTTACATCTACTCCACCTTTTTCTTAAAGGAATAAGCCTTGAGCATACATCGAGTGCCACAGAATTAATCTGTTCTAGGCATTAGTTGGGCTCTGTGTTGCTTAGTCTATCTTCCCAGCTTATATTGTTTAGGACTTGGTTTACTTGGTCCCACTTTACGTTCTTGTTAGTTAGTTAGTTTAATATGTTTATTATGCACCCCATACCCATCCTGTGGGTGGTAGTCAAAAGATTACAGAGGTACATAATTGGTCCAGGGACTGGACTCCAAAGTTTTGATAGCTGAGCAAGTTATAGAG